TAGTACACATTTTTATTTAGGGGCCAGCTGAAGACCACCTCCGGTTGCAAGATTTTCTCGCTGCGTTGAAAACCCATTAGTGGACTTCGGCTGTTGTCTGATCTTTGGTCGGGTTGTTGTCTCCTTGACACATTCCCAATTTCCATTCTCAATTTTATTAACTCATCAGACATTGTCAGATGGATATAATTAGAAATATATATAACAAAATTACAGTGTGGACGTGACCGGCATCCCAACAACAAAAAGACACTAAGTACAGATCTGAGAGTACTCACGGTTTGAAATTGACAGCTAGTTCAAAACCAAATTGGCAATAACAACTTATAAAAATCAAAGTACTGAAGTACTGAACATCGGATGACCGTAAGTTCTTGTGGATGGTCACAAGCACTTGTCTCTGGAAAAAAATCGCATCTCTATTTATATACACCTGAAAGTAATGTTAAATTACATACTAGATATATTTTTTCTGAGACATGTTCGTGCGTGGATGATGAATATTCGACAGGAAATGTTCAACCTCACCGTAATAACTTTTATATTGTAGTGATACAAATCAGCATACTCTGGTCGGTTTATTGTTATATATTATATCAATATTTGTATATACAAGTTACATGATTGTAGTATTGCATAATTTGCATCCATTTGATTAGCGTTCTATTCTATTATTCTTATATTAATAGTGCAGTGCAAGTGCATGGTGGACACTCTTAGAAGATATAATAATTCGATTTTTCTAATAAAATGGATTTGAGCATGTTGAGTAGGCATCATATTTTCCAGCAAAACGTTCTTGAGATATGTTTCCGTGTGCGTTAAGGTGTCAGACCACCAATTAAAAATCCCAATCTGTTCAACCAAATTTGGCGATTTTCACAGCTTTCCAAATATTTTACCTTAAATTTAACTTCATAGAAACCAGGTATATCCTGATTGGTACATTATTATATCAACTTTCTACATGCCAATTTTCAACATACCTTTAAAATCTTCTAAGAAAAAAACTGACCTTCGAATACTCCAAAGATAACCCCTGTTTTTTGGAAATCTTTAATTAGCATAGTATGGAGCGCATGCGTTAATCCTTTTTTTAATGCAAACTCATAGACAATAGAATATGTAACAGTAAAATTAAAAACTGGAATTTTAGAGTGCATAGTCAATTTAGAGAACTTTATATTGAAAATTGTTGTAATATAAATTGTTCTTTTAGTAAAAATGATATTAAGAATATTGAGAGTAATGTTTTTATATGTACAAGAGAAAATGGTGTAATGTTTTAAACACAAATGATCGCAGTAAACTGCGAACCTATAGGTTATTTAAACAAGAATATAATAAAGAACATTATTTAAGTGTTCATATGCCAGGAAAATATAAAAGCGCCTTTGCTAAATTTCGATGTGGTGTGGCGCCAATTAGGATTGAAACAGGCAGATATGAAGGGGTTTCATGTGAAAATAGATTTTGTTTTAATGATTCATGTATGCAACAGAAACTCATTGAAGATGAGAAACATATTTTACTCAAATGACCTTTACAAGACAAGAGGTTTTGACTACAGCAGTATCTTTTAATAGTGTTTTTTTTTAGACTTAAATGATATTGAACAATTTATATTTTTATTTACTAATGAAAATTTGAGCTTTTATTCTGCCAAAATCTGCCATGATATTTTAATTCAAAGGAAGAATGTATTATATAGACAAAAAAAAAAAAGGTTTTTTAATTTTTATCGATTTGTCCATTTTTATGTAAAAGTCTCTCATAACTCTTTTGAGAGTGGCTCGCGAATGTTTTTAAGATTGTTTTGTACTTTTAATTAAAACATGCTGTAGATATTGTATTCATGTTTGTATTGTACATGTAGAGAGGTGAGACTATAATAAAATATTTGATTTGATTTGATTTTAGACAAGTGAACTTTGACTCAAAATGGTCTTAATATACTTTTCTTTCACCAAAAATTTCATTTCTGCAAATTTGTTGGTTAGTTTAAGTAGACAATGACATCAAAAGCACTATTTTGTGTCAGAGTAGGGCTACTTTTACATACGTTCTAAATTGGAGGGAGTAATTGGTGGTCTGACACCTTAACACAAATTTTCGGTAGCCTTGATTTGTTAATGATATATAAATTTCTCACGAGAAAACATTTTCATATCATTTATCTATGTTCTTATATTGCTATGAAGGATTCGAACATGTTGCCAAATGAACTCAAGAGCAACTAAAACCTTGAATCTTATAAATCTGGTATGAAAGACTATCTGTCAAAGAAGGAAAGCAACTATTTTAATAGCAAATTTTAATGATTGGCTTTTATATTCTAGTCATAGTCATCGCAATTTTTTTATTTTAGCATAATTAGTATAAAACCTGCCAAAATCATGATTTCTAATAACTATATTTAATATTTTTAAGAATGTATTAACATTAAAGCGACCCCATTGGAAATAATTAGCCGTATGGCTTCCATAAGCAATCCTGGTTAATAGGTATCAACAATTGTTTTAAGATTTTATGATTTTAGTATGTTTACATGTCTGCTATCATTTTGTCCTACTTTTGTAATGTTTAATATTGATATTTGATGAAATAGAGTACACTTTAAAATCTAAAATTGCTGAAACATGGAAGTATATAATAAAACCACATCAACATTAAAGTTTACAAAAAAGCAATTTCATAGTTTCTTATGCCCTAGCCTCAATAAATAAGCTGTTTTTCCAGTAATCAGATACACTGCATTATATATAACATTTTTTACCCCGATATGTTATTCTGGAACTAATTTAAAATCTAATATCTCTATAGAGGATGGCAAGTCATAAAATTCTGATAATTTAAATTATTTTATTAACCAATTTTCGGAGTCCCTTGTTTTTAAAACAAGCTGTTTTTCAGCAATACTGCTGTCAACAAATCAGTGATTATCAGCAATGTTCCTGTATAAAGAAAACATTTTCTTATGCATTTCGGATTATAAATTTTCTTGCTGATAAAACGATCCCCTCATTATCAATTTAACGATTTGAAGGTATACTCAAGAATACCGCTAAATTCCCGTATTTTTCAAATAAAGTATATATCATTATGCTAATCATGTAAAACTTTACTAATATATATGTTGTGTACAATGCAAGATGTAAGTTTGTACAAATTATAATAAGTGTACAGGGTTTTTGTACAAGTTATATGTTTTTTTGACACATACCTTTTTGCACCAGGTGAAATAGGTTTATCTTCTAAAAGATATCCGTTTAATGTCTTAGATTCAAATTTATAAACTTCAACCTAACATTTAGTGCTATTTTCCTTGTCCTTTAACTGGTAATAAGGACAGCTGAATGGTTTAAATTCTATTTTTATTTTTCTCCTTATACCAAAGTCATATCCATAAAAAGTCTTTGTGTGTTCTTATAATGTTTTATGTATCAACGCTCAGTGTTAGACTGTATCATGTAGTCATGTAAATATGACAGAAATATGCGAAACAAAAGACTGTGTGCTTGCATCAACCACTTGTGCCAAGCGGTTCATAAAACACTGATAACTTGAACAAAAAATCTGTACAAATTATAATTTGTACAACATTACATTTAGTACACAACATATACATGTACATGATTTCGTCGTAGGGAGGAGCTACGTGATACATGAAAAAAAAGAGGTTCAAGTTGATTTTTGTTTTTTTGTTTTTGTTTTTTTTTTGGCAGTGGCTATTTTGCTGACACCGTCAAATAAGAAAATATGCTATTTTGCCGGTTCTGATAAAAATATATTACAATTCAAGCCTACAAAATAGCAAAATTTCTATATGAATGGATATATTACCAGCACTAGCAATATAGAGCATTTGTTATTTTGCCGGTCTTTTGTAAAGAGGGAAATTTAATATGTACTTTTAAAAAGTACTACGAAAATGTGCAACAAAAATGATACAAATGATCACTTAAATAAGAAAATCTGCTAACAATATTTGACATACATATTAATATAATCGTTTAAGAACAATTAACAGTTACAGCCGATTCCATTGAGTGTGTAGGCAAAGGTAATATCTTTGGTTAGCTTGCTTGCTTGCTGAACCGTGAAGTCATTCCCTTACAGAACTGAAATGTTTGCAGCAGGTCTGCAGCAGACTTGCTGCAGGTTTGCTGCAAACAAAAAGCTTGCAGGAACCCTTTGAATAATGTTTGCAGAAGTTTGCAGCTAGAATGTTTTAACTATTTTATGTATTTTATATGTGCTTCTATTTGCTAATTTAACTTTGTCATACAGTTGTTGAATAATAAGATCATAGATGTATTAAAGTATTTCTTTCAGAATCAAGTATAAACACGATCTAACTCCCACGTTTGTTAACGTCTCCTCGGAGACGTTATAAAGAATTGAACGATGGACAATCTGCGGGCTGAATGCTTCTTACTACCTGATTGGAAGATATTACTGAGACGTGAATAATTAAAGTTCGTTGATTGGTTGGGACAATCCAAACCTAGTAAATGTCTTTCAATCCCGTAGAGTATCGGATTTGTACTCTCTATTTTAGCAATTAGATTTTGCTTAGTCACAAATCATGCATGTCGATACACAGGTAACCTTTATCTATAAATAGCAGAATCTCCTGATGTTTTGTTAACACGCACATGATTGTTTCACATTCAATCCATGTATCCAGTCTTTCACTGTTACGTACATTTTATACATGAAAAACATAAGAAAACTTGAACATATGGTTATGATATTTCATGATGAGAGAATGAATTGTTTGACAAACATGTAAAGCATTTACAACCATGATTTGAAGGATTAGTACGATAAGGACCTTATTTTCTTAATTCACTCTGTTCAACCGAAAATAAACCATTTATGTACTCTGACTACCAATTTTCTTATACCAAACTACTACCAACTAGAAAAGCAAATACCAATTGTCTAATATTTGTGACTGACAATGAAATCATTTTTGTATTAATAAAGACAAACAACTTTATAGAGACTGTCAGGTGCGGTGACCATCTTCAAATATTTATTAACTTATAAACAAGCAAAATAAATGTCCATGTGTAATGCTACAAATACTGACATCAGTTTCAAGCGAATATCATACAATCTACAAAGAGAAACACATAATTACAATATGCACATAACATATAAAGTACGAAACAATGTACTTAAAATTAATCTTCCTAAATATACACAACTAATAGTACACAACTCGATGGTCGCCGCCCTTGTCGATAAACTTTTCTCGTGCACGCAACACTTGTATTAGATACAATACAAAGGTAACAAAGAAACAGGCCGGTAACAACCGTTGCCGGATAGTTTTTCTGCACGAGTAGTCAGGTCAAGGTCCGAGGCGATAGCCGAGGACCTTGACCTGACTACAAGTGCAGAAAAACTATACGGCAGGTTGTTTCCGGCCTGTTTTTTTGTTACTTTTGTTTTGTATCTGACTTGTACGACGTTTCAAGAAAGTAATAATACATTTTGCAAGACTAAACATTTGAGAAACTTAGATAGCCATAAAGCAGTAAATGTAAGTTATAGTATAAACACACTTTTTTTTTTTCATTTCCCTTCAACCGAGAGTTTTTTACAAGAAAAAAATCTGAAATCTAATAATTTGATAAAAAAGAACCATATCAAGTAAAAGATGAATGTTGTACACATTTAAGACTTTTTAAAATGCAACTTCGTTAAAAAGTAATATATTAAAGAAATATTTTAGTGGTAAGTAAGCTAACGTTTGATTTTTATGGATGAAACGGAAAGCGGGGAGGGGGGCCTAATTTAATTTAAAATAAACAGGCTGTGATCTTTATTTTGATGAAAAAAATGCAGAATGTGCCATTCCATCCCCCCATTCCCCCTTTAAAAAAATCGTAAAAATCGCACGTTTGTTGCCAAATATATGAATTCAATATTCAGTGGTGGGGGTCCCGGGGGTTGTAACACCCCTTTTTTGAACGATCAATACATTTAAATGGGGACATATAGTTGGACCCCTCCCCCCCCTGTTTTGTCCTGGATTGGGAACCCCCTTTTTTAAAATGGCTGGATCCGCAACTGATATATATGTATATATAAATTCAATAACAATATAAATGTATCAAAAGAATGAATTTCCTACTTCATTAGTGAATGAAATGTTATGAAAAAATGGATTTTGTCTTATTTATAATATTATATATATTCAGGCATATACTTTGATTTTTTTTAAATTCATGCTCGTCTCTAGATATGCAAGTGTTGATCGGGATTAAACACGTGTTACTATATGGTCCAATCGCAGCTTACCGTCCAAAATTGATGACATAAGTTGAATGATTTTCTTCTAGATTTGCTGCTTATTTGGACGTGTATTACACGAACACTTTTTTTTTTATAGGATCAATCGTGCATTGGTGAGTTGATAGGGATTTTATCTTTTGATAAGATTTGATTTTTATTTACTTATTTCCTGTCTTTTTTTATTGAAATATGAACGTCGGTATCATCATTTCTTTACTTTCAGCACTGTCCAAAATACTATTCATGTCCATATATCGAAGAAAACATTTATTGACCGATTATTTTGCTTCATAAATGGGGCGGTATGTTCTTTTCTGAGTATATTAACTATTTACTTTTCAACGCCATCACCCAAATATTTTTGTTTAAATTAGCACTATACGGTATTCGGAAAATCAGGAATCATGCAGAACATTAATTTGTCATCTGCTTGACCATAGTAAATTTTTTCTCATAAAATTTGGGATCAAAATATCTTTTTTTAGGAGAAAACCATACCCCCCCCCCCTCTTTTTTGAAGTTAAATGTCTAATCCCTTAGTGTACTGATATGAATAGTATTTTACTGAAAATGTTTGAAAAAAGATATTGATGCTAACGTAAATATTTTGTTTAATAAAAAGACAGGAAATATGTCGGTGAACCAAAAAGTTCAAATCTAATTGAAAGTTAAAGTGCCCATGAACTCACTGATCATGCACGAGTGAATCTATTCATAAAAAGTGTCCGTGTAACAACCAAAAAGAGTCCGTGTATCATCTAAAAAGAGTCCGTGTAACACCCGTTAATGTACTGTTTTTCTATAGCTCTGCGGGGGGCAAAGTCGTACAATAAATACTAACGGACTTTTTATTCTATTGTTATTACAATTAGCCCGCGTTTTCTTATTGAAAATTCATACGCCTTACGTACATAAATATATTTATTTTCTTAATTCACTCTGTTCAACCGAAAATAAACCATTTATGTACTCTGACTACCAATTTTCTTATACCAAACTACTACCAACTAGAAAAGCAAATACCAATTGTCTAATATTTGTGACTGACAATGAAATCATTTTTGTATTAATAAAGACAAACAACTTTATAGAGACTGTCAGGTGCGGTGACCATCTTCGAACGTACAAAGAAAGCATGTCAGATGCCAAGTTTTCTAGAAACAGACAAACGTTTTTCGAGATCGTCAGCAATATATCCATCTTTAGCGTTCTCAGTTTTCCAACGACCATGCACTTTAAAAAGTCTATCAGAAATACCGTTATTTGCGGCTGCTGTAGCCCCACCTGATCTAAAACTATGTAAACCAAATAATTTAGCATCTAAGCCAATAGTGTAAAGTGCAGCTTTGACAACTTCTCTTGCACGTGTATATGACAATTTTACATTCTTCTTTCGTAAAACAAAATTATTATGTTTCTTAACATACAAAATAGACCTGAATATGTACATTTCAGAATCTAGATCTATAATACCTGCTTTTATATAAGCTAACAAAGTTTCTACCGGACAGAAGGGTGTGTTTGTTTTTGCTATAACAACACTTTTCCCTTTTCTGTAACAATCAGTTTTGCTGTTAGCAATAAAAATTTCTACATATTCTGATTTGAACGAAATATCCTTGGCCTTAATAGCACAAAGTTCACTATATCTTAAAAATCCTGCGTATGATACAGCACACAAAGATAGCAGACGTAAATCTTTTAATGTCCTAGGTTTACTAAATCTGTTAAACAAAGTTTTTATAATAGTTGCATATATGGGTTCCTTCTGTATAAGCCTATTCAAATTTCTTTTAGAAGACTCTACTATACTACGAACTAAATCAGAATCACAAGGATCTGGTAAATTAGCTAACTTGTGTGCCCACTTTATACTGTAAAAAGCTGTTTCAACGGAACTAAAATGTTTGACTTTCTGCAAAAGATGTTCTAAATAAAGGCTTACATAAAGTTCACTAGCCGGTAAAATAGAGTCAATTTCCGGAAATTTTTGTGCCCACGCCAAAAATCTTTTGAAACCGTAAGCATACTTGGAAACAGTTGTCTTTGCTCTTGAATCTATAACTGTAGAACGTAAATGAGACAGAAGTCTTTTCAGTTCTGAACTTTGTACGAGGTCACTGTTATTCCAAAATCCGGCCGAAAATATTTTCTGTAAACAAAATCTTATTTAAAAAAAAATGTAAATAGGTAAGCAATTAAATAAATAAGCATAATTACCTTTAATGGCCAATTATGGCCCAGTGACCAGCTATCACCCAGCGGTGAACACACAAAAAAGGTCCAGTGACCAAAAAGGAACCATATGAACTGAGGTCCAGTGACCAAAAGTAATACAATTAAATGCGTCCAGTGACAAAATACTGTAACAGCTCTGTAGCTTTAGTCCAATGACCAGGTGTCCAGTGACAAACGTTCTCTACAATTTAAAATTAGATGTTAGCATTCATTTTAACTGCAAGAATTGTACCGGAAAATTTTCCGTTTGCAAACATAGAATTCAAGTTATTACCAGGTACAAAAATTCTGTCTATCTCATGAAACTCTAATACGTCTTCAACATATTTCTTGTAACCTAAGTTCTCTGTAAATAGCAATGGCCAAAATGGCGCCGAAGGCCATTTAGGAACAACTAATGTACCTTCTGCTCTACATTTTACTAAATGATTAATAGTCTTAGATGCTACTGAAACTGGCGGAACTAGCCAATTATTTTCACCAGCCCAGTTACACGTAAAAGCGTCTACAGCAGATGTTCCTGGGTTCCAATAAAGTGAACTGAACCTCTCTATTTTTGAGTTTTCAGAGTTTGCAAATCTGTCAAAGCTATAAGAGCCCCACATCGTATCAAGAAACGTAAAAAATTCATGGGAAACACCCCAATCATCTACATCTACGATTCTACTTAATAAATCTGCCTTTTCATTTTGTTCCCGAGGGATCCACTGTACATGTAATGAAATATTATATAAAACACAATTCTTGAAAATTTCTAAAGCTAAATTATGCAACTCTGACACCTTACTGCCTTTCTGGATTATACTCACAGCATTTTGATTGTCAGTGTGTACTGTAACTACGCTATTTTTGAGTATATTATGAAAAGATTTCAGACAAATTAGTATAGCTTTGATCTCTCTCCATGTGGAGCTTCTAGTTTTCTCATGATCTAACCACATCTGGTGAAAAACGTAGGTTGTGTTTGACACATAACCGCCAGCGCCTGTGTCACTAGCATCCGTAAATGCATGAAAATCTGAATAAATTCTAAACAATTCAGAAGGTTTTAGTGACAAAATGTTCTCTTGCCAAAATCTTAACTCTTCGATACATCCTGGGATCTTAAAAATATTAATATATTGATCCCAGTGCTCACGTTGATTAATCACTGAAAAAATATTTCTGGTCATAATTTGTGTTACATTGCCAACAGCAGGCTTCAAAGAAATAATCTTACCACAAAACCCAGCTAAATCTCTGACTCTCACTCTTGAACCTGTTTGTAATAAATTACATAGTTGAATAATATCTAAAAGTTTTTTGCTAGGGACTGAAAGTTTCCCCAGATTCAATTCCCAGTGGAATCCTAACCAGTCAATATCTTGAGATGGGTTCCATTTACATTTATCCTTGTTTGGAACAAACCCTGAACTAATTAAATCTCTTTTTACTTTTTGAGAATGTAAAGTACATAGATCGGCCGTTTCGGCTACACCGAACCCGTCATCCAAATATACCACTACTCTTATCCCCCCTTTTCGCCAATGTTTGACAAGCGGTCTGACCACTTTCGTAAAAATATAACCACTAGTCTTCAAACCAAAGGGGAGAACTGTAAAAACATAAAATTTGTTTTTCCATTGAAAACCTAAATACTTTCTGTGTAAATTAAATACATCTACGTGATGATATCCCGACTTCAAGTCAAAAATAAAACCGAAACACTCAGAAGTAATGTATTGAGATACTGTTCTCAAATCTTCGAATTTTATTTTACTTAAAACTACATGTTCATTAACGTGTCTTAAATCCAAAATTAACCTTTCTTTACCTTTGGAATTAACCGAGACCGTTAACGGATTAACTACATGTGGTCTTTCCGACACGACCTCAGCTGACCCTGAAACAACAAGATCTTTAATAGCTAAATCTACAAATTTTTCATACTTGAAAGCGGATTTATTATTTTGCAACACAATTTTTTCTGGCTCAGTTCGCAATGGAATTTTATAGCCATTTTCGATAACGTCGAGAATAAAATCAGATGATCCAATACTTTTCCAAAACTCGAGAGATTTTTGTAATCTACCTTTTACATGTATATTTTTTAAACCCTCTTCATAGTCACAAAAAGATTTGAAAATATCTAAATTATTCTGTACCTGAAAAATGTCACTGTGTGGTCCATACTGATTAAATGGCCCCTCTACTGAAATTGAATCCAGCTTTTTTGTCCTTGGCTCGGCAATCTCTAGCCCAGTGTCCGTAGTTCCCACAGGAATAACACATGTCTCCGGACTTATCTTTAATTTTTACCATATGGTAATTCAGGTTACCTCTCGCACTGGGGGGCGGGGGGGGGGGGGGGGGGTTCCCTAAGTACTAAGGGAGCTACCATTTGATTTAATTGGGGGAAAGGGGGGGGGGGGGGCTAGGAGGAAATGAGGAACATTTTTTCCTGCCTCCTATTTTCAGATGAAATCTCTGTCCAGCCTTTCTATTTTCTACTCTATTTGGTCCTGCCTTATTTGTTTTTTTAGTTCATCCTGACTTTTTTATAATAAATTGTCATCCTGCTTTTTTTTTGGCAAAGGGTATCATCCTGCCTTTTTTTTTTACTCAAAACTACTATCCTGCCCATTTTTTCCAAATTTAATCCTAGCCCCCTCCCCCTCCAAATAAAATTCAAAGGGTAGCTCCCTAACCATGCTAACGAGAAGTCCCGTGGTTCAGGTCACTGCTTTCAGAAAATTGTCGGTTAATAAGAATACGAATAAACAATGATTAATTATCAGTACATTTCTGAAGATTTTGATTAGATAACGGATTTAAATTGATTCTTAAGAAAAAGTCCATGTACACGTGGTTTACAGTAAAACTTATAGCCAATCAAGTATATAAAACATATTCAACTTTTTTTGTTCAATTTATAATAGGATATAACTTTAGACGGGTGCAGGTATGATGATGAATTTATATACTTATTCGTAATAAAAGCGTTACTTCCGGGTACACCAACATACCACACGGCAAAATGTCAAACAAAGTATCTCTTTGTATAAAGGTGAGTTCTAAAATTGTTCATAAATGAGAAGCATGCAGACAGTCGACTGATTGAGTACGAATGGTTTCGTAATGAGTTGCACGTTAATCGCAAACTAATTGTGTATTATAATTAGATGATTGATAATTAATGTTTATCGTTTACATGTATTTGAAAGAAAACATTAAGGAGTTCAACACATTTATATTTTAAAGGACTTATTTACAACATTTGTACATTTTACGAAAAAAAATACTCTGATTTGTAGGAGCCTAATTGAGAAACCAGAACGAACTTTTATTCTCATTTTGTAAAGTGTAAACACATACATTTTATATTCTCCTACAATGTACGGAAATTATTTTTACCCGCAATTTAAAAAAAAATCCGGTTATTTAGTTATGCTTTTTAATAAATAGACTCAACCTTTGCAAAGACAGCGAAGAGGGTGCCACGCCATTTTGTTTTCTTATATATATGATCTAAGAACATATAATATATGAATGTTCTAAACATGCAAAGGTAAATTTAACGATCGATATTTAGCAGACGATATTTATAGTAGGGTGCCCAGTCAACAAATTTGATCGATTTGGGTTAACGGAATAACACACGGCTATATTTTATATCATTGGAAAGAGGAGAACAAGCCTCGTCGAAATATTGATGTCGTCGTTGTCTACAGTGGTCACGATTTTCTTAAATTTGGGTCAAAGGTCAAATCTAAAATTTCAAGGAAAACGTAGAGTCACGTTTAGACAGCTGGCCACCCCTACATATTTGCGTTTAAAATAAAAAGTTTAAAGTTTTGAAAAACAGACACAAAACAGATTTCTCCGAACAAAGTGGCAATCTAAAAAGTTAGCTGGCTATTCACACCAAATAAAGCAACCACACAACAAGCAAAAAAGACAAATGTTTTGAGTGACCTCTGTCCTTGTTAATGACCTAATAGTGTAAGCAACAAAATGATTAATGGCACGAGATAATCCGTGTTTAATCGTTTAATCAATACCAAAATGTTGACATAATTTGTGTTTTTAATTGCTAATTTCTTCAAAACGATTTTTATTTCACGCATGCAATTTGGCACACACATGCACTGTGTCTTATTGCTTAAATCAGAGTAAAAAATATTGTGATGATACACGTAATAATTTTGCTTTCGATGAAAATAGGGTAAATTTCGGGTAAAATTTTACTCTTACTAAAATGCTGAAATACTTATATCAAAATCACTTAAATACTTTCCGATTTCGTTATATAATATATTTAACATCTAAACTATAGTATAGGTACTGTTTTAACTACCAACAAAGAACGCAATGATTTTATTTTTCATGTTAAAGATTCCCCGTGCAATACGGTATCTGGTGGTACCCTGTAAAAACACGAAATTTAGAAAATCGTGACCACGTGAACTTACGACGACAATCATGATTGTAAAATATAATGATTTTCCTATAATGTGCAAAAAAATCAGCCGTGTGTTATCCGTTAACTTTAACTCGTTAACTAGAGGACTTTTTGGACATTGGGCACCCTACTATTAGCAGACATTAATGAATATATAACAAGGAACACATGTACTGCCTTGACACTAGATTTTACTTTTGATGACAGGTGGGAACTTCTAAATGAATTTTGGAATGCCTTCCACCAATTGTCAAAATAAAGAATTGCTTCAAAAACCGGCATCATTAATATGGTGGTCAGTTTGTATTGATCGATTGTTGGTTGCTAATAGTCCAATGGAAACTACATGTATGTTATGCATGTTCACGACGTAAACAAATTAACAATAAATACAAAAGGTAGGTCCAGTAATAGAGGCCGTTCGGGATGAAGGTCTGGGAAATTTGGACTGCCATTGAAAAATGAGGGTTAATTGGATATATAGAAACAGAATTATTGTCTTACAACATGCGAACTTCGGACCCTGCAAAACATTCTTAACAGGCGTTCTAAACGCAAAGAGAGCGTGACACACACGAGGCATTGGATGTTCATGTAACATCCCAATTTGACTGGACGTGGCTACATACTTGTACATTCCACACGGGCAAAACGGACTCCACACTTTGGTAATGGTTTTACTGCCGGTCGGAGGAATACCAAATAACCATATTTCTATTCGCAAGTTATCATGTGGGGTGGTCAGTTTGTAGTATTTCCAATACAATAGATACATTCATGTATAAGTTCTGATATTACATTGATTTCATGCTTCTCTTTTCACAAAATTTAGCAAATGAATTTTACAACACTGACCTCTTTTTATAGTTATCTTTAATATATTCCAGTTGCATGCATGAGTACTATGACCTTAATCGTCTCTCTCTGTGTAAGATATATTAACAGTAGTCAATGCATTGTAAACATCGGTAGGAGTCGCTTAAACAAATCCTTTTTTGACCAATCTTTAATTAAAAATACAATCTTTAAAAGCATGTCAGTAACGGATAGTAGTCCTTTGTTAATTCATGTATCATTGTCATTTTGTTAAGTTTCTTTTGTTACCTATTCGGACTCGGACTTCTTTTAAACTGAGTTTTACTTTGAGTATTGTTGTGTTTTTGTTTTTTCTACATTGGCTAGAGGTATAGGGTAAGGGTTGAGGTCTCACAAAACATGTTTAAACCCGCCGCATTTTTGCGCCTGCCCCAAATCAGGAGCATCTGGCCTTTATTAGTCTTGTATGATTTCCATTTTCACTGAACTAGTACACATTTTTGTTTAGGGGCCAGCTGAAGCACGCCTCCGGGTGCGGGATTTCGCGCTATGTTGAACACCCATTGGTGGCCTTCAGCTGTTGTCTGCTCTTTGGTCGGGTTGTTGTCTCTTTGACACATTCCCCATTTCCATTATCAATTTTAGCCATAATTGAATATGCTGAATTGGAAGTAACACTGTAAGATATTTATTTATATTTCACAGTTTAAACTGATTTCTCATCTAGAGCAACTTGTAGTACTTTAGAGGTCTCGTGACATTAGTTTTTTTTCGTTTTTTTGGACCCAAAGTTTTGCAATGTAGAAAACGCTTTATTGCACTGGTTGGTATAGAAACTGTATGAAAGAATCTATGTTTTTTTTTTGTCTCATTTGTTTGTTTTGTCTTTACTAGAAAGAGATGTATCTACACATGGACAGTTTGATTCCGACACAAATCTTTAATTCTTAAACACAAATAGAATGTCACGTATCTCAAATTATTAACTTTGTTTAATATCTATTTCTACAAAACCTAAAGTCTTAGTAAAGCTTTTGTTTTGACGCCTTTATCGACGATCTTTCACATAAATTTGTCAAGCGTGTTTTTTCTTATTTCATTAAATTTTTTACTATAAAGATGAATGACACGAACTATATAGAATAGAGAATGGAAACGAGAAAAACTGGACTAGTTTCAGCTAGTTCTTAAACAATGATGTATACATACCAATTCACCGAAATAAACGCCACACTAAACTCTGAAACATACAAATGATTTATCCTACCGAACTGACTTTAAATAAGGCAAATACTAACAAGGAACACTACCCTTTCCTAGATAATGATAATGATATTTCTCTAATTCTTCGTCAATTTATCCCTTTCTGCACCCATTGTATAAAAAAAATTTAATCAACGTGTGGTTCGTTTGATCTCAGTTCTTCATTGGTTAAAATCCGATTAAGACGTAGAATTTTCTTGCTTTCCTCTGAATTTCCTATTGTGACGGCATGAAAAAAGGCGACCATGCCTGATGACGTCACATAGAAAGAACACATCTTTTTGCAAATCATTCAAAAAGAAGGAAGAAGTTTGCCTGCATCCTGTTTGAAAATCATTAGAGAAACAGATTCCACCACCAAATCTCGTGTAATACGATATTTATCCACTCTCGACAGTTAAATTTTAAATATTTAAAACGCTCGGCGAGCCTCGCGTTTTAAATTTGAAAATTTAACTGTCTCGAGTGGATAAATATCGTATCACACTCGATGCAGTGGTAGAATCTATATCTATATCTTTAACGGGAAGTTTAATACCAAAATTTATGATAAAAGAGATGATTTTTCATTTCGTATTAATAATTATTAATTTTTAGATAGTGACGTTCCCTCGTCACCATCCTATGGTGTTTATATATCCCAACTTGTTCGATTCGCTCGTGTATGTAACAACGTATTTGATTTCAATGAAAGAAATCTCTGTATTACTGAAAAATTATTACACCAGGGTTTTCGATATCATAAACTAGTCAAAACATTT